GTAAGTTCTAAATAGTGTGATGAAGGCTGTATTGCAACAGCATCAAATGCCTCATGATGTTGTAGTTGGTTGATAAGATTAGCCTTCTGGTCTGCTGACAAGTCTAGTTCAGTAGAGTTGATATAATTATTGATACCGGTATTAATTATATATTGAAGTAGTGTTGAATTAGAACATTTAAGCCAATGTAAAGAGGAATCTAATGCTCCACAATGGAAACAATTAGTATTTTGAAAAATAGTAGGATAAAGAGTATGGTGAAGTGAATGAGTAGGTAGTTCATTTAATAGAGTTTTGATTTTGAATGATTTGAGTTGATTAAGTTTGAAGTTTGTAATATTATAGGTAGGTTTGCGATTATGGTTAAAGTATAACCAAGTAGATCGCCAATCAATCCTGTCATTTGCTTGAGACCATTCTTCATTACGTTGCTGGGATGATCACATTGCTAGAATATGGGCTTTGCAAATAGTTTTAATGAAAGGTCGAGTTGATTGTTCAACAAAAAATTTTTCTTCTTTGCATTATAATATGTGGTATGGGTTGTAAATATTAGTATAATTGAATTTGAGATATGGAGTAGTGATATATTATTTAGCAAGGGAATCTGCTAAATTGTTAAAGGTATTATTTGTATGGGCTTAGCTTTAATATACTTCTACTTTTTATTTTAAGATAGTTGTATATTTTTTATCTCTGCTATTTTTTGAACTGTTTAAATTGCTGTCTGACTATCTGTGTCTATCTTTATATTAGCTTTCTCTGATAATATTAAAAGCAAAATTAAATTACACCAAATTCTACTCTTGTTGATGATGGCTAGCCTGTTATAGTATATCTAAATTCTGCTATTTTCTTTATCAATCCTTCTTTATATGCTTATAAAAACTATTCTATTTCTATTTTGATTTTATTTATCTTTTTTTATAATAAGCTGTTAGTATATACTTCAAATATCTTGTACTCTATAATATCTCTTATAATTAATATAAGCTTAGCTATTGCTTTTGCTTCTTTTATATAGCTGTATGTTATTTTTTAATAACAAAACCTATTCTAATCTCTGTTATTTGTCTTTCTGTTCTTCTTTTTGTCTTTATTGCTGCTTGAAATTCTCTTTAATTTGTAATATTTTCTTATAGTACTATTATTCTGTATCTTGTTTGACTATTGTTATTGCTCTTTTTGATCTAACTGCTATCTATAATTCTTCTTATTCTTTTAAAATGTTTGTTAATTAAACATACACTAGGCTCTTCTATGTTGCTTCTTTCTTTACATTTCTTACATGATTGTAGAGTTATCTCTTCTATTCTTGTTGTATCATTTCTAACCCAATATTTTATTTTGTATCTTCTATTTTCTTTACTATTTTTTTAACTTTGATGTCTTTATTTTCTTTTTTATATATAATTCATTCTTGTTTTCTTTTATCACTGCTTATTATACTTAATTTTACTTTAATTGATTTGTAATTCTTAGAGTCTCTGTAGTATTCTGCCTTTACTCTTCTATCAGATTTATTTTTGGTACCATTTTCTCTATCTCATGAAACTATCTTGTTTTTTTTCTTTTTATAGCAGCCTTGATCTAGTTTTAAGGGTAGGGTGTACGTAGATCATTTTTCATATGATCTGCATGGTACATTGAATTTTTACATAGTAAATAAAAAAATGCTTCTGATTAAACTTTTTAACATCTCAGTTAATTTGTATGAAATTT